GTTCAAGCTGTAAGACTGAATTTGGTTTTAAGGGTACCTTGTTTGACTAAAACTGTTCTCAAAAGGGCCTACATTTTTCCTTATGTTCTTCATCAGCTATGTGTGCTAATGAAGGATGAATCATAGCCTTCAGAGTTCTTGTCAAGTGAACATCTGAGGAAAGAGTATGAGAGTAAAGTTGTGTAAAGGACTGTTTTCTGTGTAGTGTGTTCTCCCCACATTCCAACTGATTAATGAAGAGTACTGTTTGGGAGCATATTAATTCCCCAAACCCCTCTTTCTAGGTAAGAATTCTGACAAGGTTGGCATTGAAGCTGCTGAGATGCTGCTTAGAAATCTTAAACATGGTGGAGCTGTGGATGACTATTTACAAGATCAGGTAAGAATCCCACATGCAGACTTTTAATGTTATTTTAAATCATCAAGGTATAGCAATGCATTTGAGTGTGTGCATTGTGTATAGAGTGTGAGTGTGTATAAAGAATGTAAATGTTAAAAAACAAAACCATAAGTTTCAGAAATACAAGAGTCATTCCATGGCTTTCTAAGGAGATGCATTCAGATAATCACTAATGCCATAACTTATAAGACACCTTTCAAATTGAGTCACCCTGAAACTGAAACAGAGTAGCTAGCCGGTTACACTGTCTGGTTCTTACTCCATACGTCTTGGAAAGCTGTTCGTGCCTTGGGAGGAGGGCTCTCATGACCTTAATGAGATTAGCAGTCTACCCCTGAGATAAAATAGACTTGTTAGGAAGTTTAGCAAGCCACATAAGGCTCTCAGAACAGTACAGGTATCTCCAAGCATTCTTCCTTTGAGTCTTGGGAAATTTCTCAACAAGTTCTAGCAGCGTATTTGAGGATCTCCTTTCTGCAGACCTCAGTAAATCCTGAGGATTGGGGTGGAAGCCATTGTTGATAAATTTCCTTCCCACAACAAATCTAAGGTCTGCAAAACAATGGTTTTCCCTACTTACAGACATTGGGATGGGACAGGGTGAGGCAGAGCATATGGAGGAGTAAGAAGCATTTCTCTCCAGTTTGCTCCATGTAGGAAATGGAGGGAGTAAACAACCCATAGCTATCTCCTGCTATACCATGTCCTGGACTGTAATGCTCCAGTTGAGCTGTATTTAACTTGAACTACTGAGTTCACTGGGCACTCTCATTTTCAGATTTGGTGAATACACCTGCTTTTACATTTCAAAACCCCTTCTCAAATACAGCTCTTCCATGGTGTGTGTTAAGGGCTTTCTTCCTTGGCCTTATTGTTTGGAGTCTTCCACAGAGTTGTTAATTTTTGCAATTACGACTTTAAAATCTTTTTTTTTCCCCTTTTTAAGTTGATCATTTTCATGGCATTGGCCAACGGGGTGTCTAGAATAAAAAGTGGACCAATTACCCTTCATACCCAAACTGCTATACATTTTGCAGAGCAGCTAACAAAGGTGAGTCCTAAAGACTAGTGTGGAGTCCTGTCCATTAGTCTTCATCCTGTGCCTTTAATATGCATTTGGTTGTGTAAAGTCATCCACTTATGGCCTTTTGTGTGGGGTGTGTGCATAATGAATTTTCTTAGGGAAGAGGTGTTTCCAGTACTATAGTTGGTATGAATTCCTGGCAAAGTCTCATAGAAATAATGAATAAAGATTAGTGGGTCAGAGTTTTAATTTTAAATTCCTTGGTGTTGATTAAATTAGTGATTCTCAACTGAAATGCCATGCCACTTCGCCCCTGTGTGAGGAGGTGAAGGCTGTCCTCCCCCACCCAGTGTCCTATGCCTGCTTCTATGGGGACTGCCATTGCTGCTGTCCTTCCCTTCTCTCAGGCAGCCCCTGCACTGGCTGCCCCCACACTCCCAGCAACTCACTTTCCCGGTGGCCATCTATAAACTCACTGGGGGAGGACCAGCAGGGTTTGGAACAGACCTTGCTCCCCCTAGCACCCCATGGGGTAACAAGGAGTAATGGCCACAAGTTGCTAGAGAGTAGGTTTAGACTAGACATCCAAAGGCACTACTTTACAGTCAGGGCGGCTAGGATCTGGAACAAAATTCCAAGGGAAGTGGTGCTGGCTCCTACCCTGAGGGTCTTTAAGAGGAGGCTTGACATCTACCTGGCTGGGATCATTTGAGCCCAGTTTTCTCTCCTGCCCAGGGCAGGGGGTTGGACTTGATGATCTGCTCAGGTCCCTCCAACCCTACTTTTATGAATCTATGAATCCTGCAGGTGGGGAGGATGCATGGACAGAGCTCAGCTGTCCATTTGCAGCCCAGCTCATCCCTCCACTCCTGCCTCACTCCCAGGGCCAGCATGAGGGGCTGCAGGGGCAGTTGCCAGTATATGAGATCCCACAGGATGTGTCTTAACAACTGGAGGTTCCCTTGCCTCCTCAGGTATAGATGGGATTTAGGGGGTGGGAGAAACTGTATGTGGAAAGAGCAGAGGATGGCAGAGTTAGGTTCTGCCCCCACAGCCCTTACCTGGCACCAGCTAAATCAGTGGTTCTCAACCTTCTTAGCCTCAAAGGCATCCTTCTGTATGGTTTCTAAATCCAAATTCTAACTCAGTAATTCTCATCTAGAGTGCCATGGAATTCAGAAAAGTTATGGAGGGGTGCCATGAAGCTAAAAATGTTGAGAACCACTGGATTATATTTTTTCTATTTTGCCTTCCTTCAATATTTTTAAGTAATTATATCATGTAATATATATGAACATAATTTTAACTAAATATAATGCAGTTAGACATCTAATATTCAAAGTGTGAATTGAAGTGCATTTTCATTTTTTTTCTAATACTTTTTTACTATCTTTGTTTCAGGCCAAATTTACTGTGACAAAATCGGAAGAGGAAGATTCCACTAAAGATGCCTACATTATTGAGTGCCAAGGAATGGGGATGATGAACTCAAGCTTGTAGTTTTTGGGTTTGCTTTTGTTTCACAAAAAAAAAAAGATACCTCAGTGATGTGTGTTGCACTACATGTTAGTTGGCATATGAAACAGTGGTGAACAGAGGAATACTTTATCATACCTAATATGTTCAATTTAACTTTGAAGATGAAGTGTAGTTTTTTCTTGTTGAGCTCAGAGCACTCCATCATGTTTTCCTTTGATTGTTAACAGTAAAATGAGTACAGATGGGACAGCAACTGGGATAAACTGCATGCGTTTGGGGAGCTAAAATATAATTGAGTAGCTTTAAAAATACATGTGCACCAGACTTCAACTATTTAAACATGACACATCCATGCCTCTTGAAGCATGTAAGTTTTTATCATTTGGGAACCACTACGTTACTTACGTCTGAAGAGTAGGGATAGAGTAGTGTAAAGATACAGGCTGATGGTGCATTTCTATTTCTGTAACCATTTTGCTGAAAATTATTTGGAAAAAGTAAAGCAGTTTCAACATATATGAACTGGTTACTTATTTTTGCTTGCTGTGTTCTTTCAGTAGTTCATGTTAAAGTGGGGATAGATTCAGTAGTTGTGAGTTATATATTCAAAAATACTGGACACGTCTACATGTTCATTAATGCACAGTATTTACTGTGCATTTAGTTTAGTACTTGCTTAATGAAGTAGCAACTAAATGCACAGTAACTAGAGTTACTGTGCAGTAGCACCAGCAAAAGTTGTGTTTTTTTGTGGCACTGAGCAGTAGCCTAATACTATTGCACAGTAGTGTATTATCACAGGTTTTGCCCGGCATGCTACTACACTGTATTATTATGCTACTGTGCATTAAGCATCTCTCATAGACACACCCACTGTGTAGCAAAAAATCATTTTCATTTACTCAACAAAGGTTTGTAGATATTAGAGAAATAATATAGGCAGAAGTTATAATTTGATTCTGAAACAGTTTGAGGGGAGTGATCTCCACTTTGAACATGGGGAAGAAACAAACGCATGAAATTACTTATCTAAAACCACACAGGAAACTGCAGGGGCAGTAAGCAAGGCCAGATCTCCTGAGTCCCAAAGCCAGAACGTAATCCATGAGATCTTCCTTTGCTTGGTTGTGTCTAATGCACTTTATGTTTAAAGGTTCTAGCTGAAAGTAGAAACTGTTCTAAGATAATTTTTTTTTCAGTTGCTTCACTGAGTGTAATCATCAGGAACATAGCACTGAATTTGGAACTGAAGGATGCAGTACTGAACTTTTGAAAAGCCACAGTCTGTCTGGTAAACAATGCCTAGTTGTTCTTCATCTGAGAAAATTCCTGCAAAGAAACTGGACTTGTTTTCTTTTTGATAAAGAAAATACAGTTCTTAAGAAGTTTGTATTTTTAACATTAGGAATGGCCTAAAGGTGGCAGCAGATACCGTACAAACCATCTTGCTATGAACTGAAATCTAGTTCTAAGGAGGAAAGCAGGAGTTTGGTACAATACATTACAAGCTGTTCTTGATTTGTTTCAATAATTTCTGCCAGTACGAAGACAAGGACCCAACATATTTATCAGAAAGTACATACGCAGTTGCTCTTTACTCTTGTAAAAGCGCATACTTGTAAGGTGGAGATATTAATGTCTTACTTTTTTTACTTGTTTGCACCATACAAGAGATGAATGCACATTCCTAATTTTCCTTTAATGGCTAGTATCCCAGTGAATTGTTAGATGCTTTTATATTTTAGAAAAACCTAACAGCCAAAGAGAACTGATGATGAAATTCTAATTTTGAAACTTCTCTGGAAGTACACATTAATTTGTGTTAAACAGGGAGAAAAAAATCTTTTCCTGTTTTTTAGTTAAAAGTAATACGAAAAAGGTGTCTCTAGCATAGATCCTTTGGTCTAGCCATGTTGCACTTAGTGCAAGGGGAGGTAAAGATAATGTTATTCTTTCTTGATCCTTGGTCAGTTTGCTTGCATCCATGCAAGTTAGAGCAGCATCAGAGTTGCTGCAGATTATGCCCAGCTACAGTGTTCTCCAAGGTATCATTCTAGCAGCTCACACTATCTGGGAAATGCTCAAGTTGCTGATTTTGGGGGCTATTTTGCTTTTGCATGTTGACACAAAGCACTTGCAGTGCAACCAGGATCTAAGGTCCTCTAAAAGCCAAAGCAAGAACTGATTCTAGCTATAATTATATTATTGTTAAAACAGATCCTTTTTTATGCAATCTAATATATGTTTCAAGTGCTCCTTTGTATATCTTGGGAAATGTGTATAGAGTATGAGTGTGTATAGAGAATGTAAATGTTAAAAGAAAAAACCCCATAAATTTCAGTTAAGAGAGCCATTCCATGGCTTTCTGAGGAAATGTGTTCATATAATCACTAACGCCATAACTCTTATGGAGTCTTTCAAATTGAGTCACCCTGAAACTATACTAAATAACTGAACAGCTTTATAGTATTAGACAATAAAAAATTGATCAATCCTAATATGCAGATAATCAGAGTTCCATATTAAACACTTTAAACCTTTACTAGAATTAATCCATTTCACAAGGGATGATAAAATTCTCATTCTCTTATAGACGTCCCTTTTACTTGACATAAGCCAGGATTGCTTGTGTTTCTGCATATTACAATCTAGCAACTGGTTTTTCACTTGCATTTAAAAACCTCTAGAAACTGCCTTTTCTGTAACTGCTTGTTTTGTCCTGTTGCTGCAGCATATTATCCATCAAAGAGTTATGTCCCACTTTATTGCCAAAGATTCTTTGCAGGTTTTAATCATACTTAAGAAATGTCGATGCCTAGACAGTTTAAAGATTAATAAACCAACATCTTAATGATGAATAAACTAACAGAGCTAACCCCTGCAATGTTGAGAGAAGATTATGAATACAGGTTTCCCTCAATTTATGCTGCACATGCGTTCCCGGAAAACGGTGCATAAATCGAATTTGCATAAAGCAAACCCACTTTACAATGTAACAAGTAGGGATAAGTTCTCATGGCGGTGAGGGAGGGAGGCTGGGACTAGGGAAGGGGTGGGGAGAGGGTTGCCGCTCCCGGGGCTGCACAAGGCAGCAAAGCAGAGGGAACAGAGCAGCACTCACCCCAGCCCCCAGAGCGGCTGGCACCAGCTGCCTGCAACTGCTGGGCTGCACCATGCTTTGCCTGTTCCCACTCACCTCTGCTTCTGGGCTACACTGTGCCCTGGTGCAGGCAGCTGGTGTCAGCTGCAGTGGCCCTGGGAGCAGTCACCACAGCCCATGCTGGAGTGGCCCTGAGAGCAGCCAACACCAGCTGCCTGCACCATGGCACGGCACAGCCCAGGAGCTGGGGTGAGCCCAAGCACAGGGGAAACAGATGGAGCATGGTGCAGCCCAGCGGCCAGGGGCAGCTGGCACTGGCCGTTCCCAGGGGCGCTGCAGCTGGGGCGAATGGGACCACGGCCCGTTCCCCTCCCCCCCACAGACGTATCTGCTTGGGCAGGGGGACATCTATGCTGATTGTATAAGAGAGAATTTACCTTGCATATAACAAATTATGGGTCTAAGTATGCTGATTGCACAAGAACAAATTCACATGTAAAGAACCCGCATAACTCAAGGGAGACCTGTAACGAAACTGATAAATTAATGAACATCTTTTGGATTGATATAGTCCTCCTATTCTTTGTGCATTTAACGCTTTCTGTATGAACAGTAGTTTTAGAATTCAGGATAAACCTGGCTAAGGTGCGGGTGTTTTTTAGAAATTTTAACTGAAATGTTCATTTAATGTAAACTGTGCATATCTACATGAGACACTACTGTGCAGTGGTAAGTACTAAATAAATGTGTACTAGTATACCAAATAGGTGTTCAGTAACCAGAGTTACTGCACAGTAGCACCAGCAAGCATCTTTTAAGTGATGCTACTGCACAGTAGCCTAATACTATGAAACTATAATACCACGCAGTAGCATATTAGCATTGTCTGTGCTGTGATGTGCTACTGCGCAGTATTATTTGGCTACTGTGCAGTCAGTGTCTCACGTAGATGTGCCCACTGTCATGGTTGCATTCACTGAAGCCAAGAACAACTTATGTCATCTGAGGATGTTTCAAGTGCAATCCAAAGGTCTGACTGGAGCTCATCTATACTTAAACAAGCTCAGATATGTATCAGTAAAACAGGATTCAGTGGGTACATCTATATGTGCAGTTTGTGCTGGAGTGTACTGCTCCCAGGATCAGCATTTATACATGTGCCTGGGACCACAGTGGGTTGAGCCAGGGCGGAGCAGCTCAGGCTGGCAGGGAGCCCAAGAGGTCAACCTGGCATCCCAGCTCAACATGCTGTGGAGGGGCTGTCTGGGGCATAAGGGTGCTACAGTGTGGGGCTAACCAGCAGGCAGCCCCCACACTGTAGCACCCTCTTGTCCTGGCCAGCCCTGGTCACTGCCTATACATGCATTTTAGTGTATGTAACTACTCCACTGTAGGACAGTCCTTGTTCCAGACAGTACTATCCTACAGTGAAGTTAATTAATTTACTGTGCCCTAATGTGAGCGTGCATGGTAGACAGTGAAGCTTTACTACAGAGCTAATTAGCCAGCTCTGCACTTAAGCATACATGTAGATGCACCCAGTATGTGTTAAACTCAGTGGCTGGACCAATCTCAGCTTCATGTTGCCATGACTACATTTAGATGCAGGAAAAAATATGATGTTTGGAAACTAGTGTGTGAGTGTACAGCATTCATGTAAGTATTCACTATAAAGTGATCTATTAAGTGTGGTAATTCCTTATACAAAGGCCTTTAAAATTCCAAATAAATTTCAGAAAAAAACATTTACAGAAATTAATTTCACAAAATGTTAAACTTACCCATTTGATCACAGTGAGATGTATTCAAAGTCATCATGGGTCATGAAATCAACAAGATCAAATGTGAAAATGTTATGTCCCCGATGGGCCTTCGTAGATCCCTACTAGTAGTTTAACTCCCCATTCTGGTGACCACCCTCTTCGCCGAGCATTGGTGTTACTGCGTTTGGTTGTATTCCCCGCTTTGCCAACCCCGCTTCTCTCCTGCCACGACTTTGCTGTTATCCCAGGGGCTAGTTCACAGGTCCCTCGGTGTCCCGGGTTGGCCTTGTCGGTTACATACGGGGCTCCAGCCACCCCTACACCCCGGCCTCATGCCACCTGTGGTCTCCACTTCCCTGCACCGGCTCAGTGATGCGCCGACAGACTCCTTCCTCGCCCATGTAGATGTCCCAGCCCTATTGCAAGGGATACTTCCCACCACCGATCCGTCACCCTAAACCCTCAGCTGCATGCTTCCTCACAGTGATC